AAAAAAAAATAAATAAATAAACAAAAATAAAAGTTGTAAATTCTCTGAAGCCAAGTAATTTTCGACGACAATATATTCAACGAAGAGGCACGATTTTTGCTGGTCGGTCGGCAGGCCAAGTCGGCCATGACCATCGGCGGCCGCAATATGCAGCCGACCATGACCATTCTCGACCGGTCGGCCGGTATCGCCGGCTAATCGGTTCTTTTTTTTAATTAGTTAATTTTTATTTATTAAAGAAATTATGTTAGTAGAAATTTTTATATTATAAATTAGAATATATTATTATGTTAGAATTTAGAAATTTTTATGTTATAAATTATAATTGGTTATCTTATATAATTTATTGTTATTATGTTAGAACTTACAAATTATTATGTTATAAATTAAGGTTTATTATTATTATTATGTTAGAACTTATAAATAAATGACAATTCTATATGTTTTTTTAATTGATCATTTTATCATACGAAAAAAATATGGAAGGATGAGGGTGTTAAGGTGTTCGCGAGGTGAACGTTACAAAGGCAATTTAAATCGAGCTGCTACCAGACGTTCAAAGACTAAAGCTTGCAATTGCCTGTTTCGGATAGTAACCCAACAAGTGTCACGATCTACATCTTGTAGGATCTGTGTAAATACTGATGGTGATATGAGAGTGCTTAATCATGCATTAGCGGTATATCTTGAGGATTATCGACAGATGAGCGGACTTAGTACTTCATCTAAAGATATTATCCGTGATATGACTTCTGCTCAGGCAAAACCAGCAATAACTTTGGTTGCGATCCAGATAAAAAACCCGAAAGACAACGCTACTCGGCGACATGTGTAAAACTTTAGTGATCATTTGGGGAGAGATAGTTTCGAGGATATAGATGTGACTATCCAGATTTTGCATTTGACTTTGGAGAGTAATTATATAGTTTATACAGACGTCGATGAGGAGACAATGGCGTTGACACGTCTGTTCATGTCGCATCCTGAAGCAGTCAACCTATTTTGGTATAGAGTCGATGTACAAAACCAATATGCATGTTATTTTTTAAATAACAAATTAGTATGAATCTAGGTAAGTCTTTTGATTCTATGTTTTTTTTTTTGTTGCTCTCATTTGTACAAGTACCGGATGCTGGTGGAAATTGTTGGGATGACGCCGTGCGACAATAATTTCTTAATTGTGTGTGCAATTATCAAGGACAAGAGCGAGTCCAGTTATCACTGGATTCTACAGATGTTGAGACATCTGATAGCGTGTGTGTGTTTATATTTTAATGTTAGTTTCTGCTTATTTTTTATTTTTTAAATTCACCCCACAATCAAAACAAAAATTATACTCATAAATTTACATCTCTAGGTATATTATTAAAGCAATTATTAAAGATTTTCATGAATCTTTGAATCTTTGAGATCAAATTTTGATTAAAGCAATAATTGATATAAATATTTCCAAATTCCTATATGACCTAACCAATTTTATTTTTTAAAAAAACTATTTTAATTGTAATTGCCAAAATTGGCCAAAATGTTGAGGACGAAAATTTGTGACAAATATAGTAAACCGAATTGATCCATTATATAGATAAAGATAAAGATGTAGATGTGGGGAACTAGATCCTTTAAGTTTACATGGTAATACGAGTGTAATTGAATTCACCCGGCCTCCTTCAACTCGAACGGCCTCCACACCTGCAAAACCCAACGCAGGGAGGGATCCCGGCGTCGGGCCTCCGATGCCTAAGTCAGTGCTCGATCAAGAGAGAGAGAGAGAGAGAGAGAGAGAGAGAGAGAGAGTGTGTAGTAATGAAAGAAATAGAGAATGAGAGAATGTGATACCTTAGCCCCCTTTTATAAGAGGAGTGTACCTTTTTGGGCTCAAGTTGGGCTTGGCCCATATCGTTATGCTATATGTCATAGTTTGTACGTGGGCTTATCCTCCAATATGTATTTGTTTTATCCATTAAATCTGGTCTAATATAATATTCTATATCAGTGGTGATCTTTGTTCTTTCGATAGGTAAGAAACAGCCGAGAGCTTTTTGCTCTAGGCTGAGTGAGCCTCTAATTCCCGAGGAGTGGGAGAAGGGCTGCATCGAGACATGGTCGAGTCGTATTGCTGCGGAGCCGACAGTTTGGTCGATTTCTTCTTAAGAGGAACTTTCATCTTAGGAAGAGTGATATTGGGCATCTCTGTAAAAGATTTAAAAAAAAAGAGTTAGTACGCAAGTAAAAGATTATCAATCGAGCAAACTGGTCGAACACTACTTGACTTTCCACCAATCTGGATATTGTCAAGAGTTGCCTTCGAAGTAGCGGGATGCGTCTTATGGGTAAGTAGCCCACTGTGGTGAAGGAGTTGATTGTCTTCTAAAAGGGTTTTCGACACGACAGGTCGAGAGTTCCAAAGGGTGATGTGTCAGTTGAAAATGGGTTTCTGAAGTGGACTGTCGAGCTTAAAAGGAAGCTCAGAGAGCTAGGGTGTGGATTCTCACAGAAAAAGAGTGTTGGGCTCGACATATACAAACTTTCTCTTCCATCAATGACAGTTTGAAGGGATGTCAAAGATGAAATGAGCTCCATTCTGGCTTTTTAAGTAAAGCTTTTGGGCTTGTTTGGATGGAGTGTAGATGTAAGAGAATAAGTCTATGTCGAATTAGCCTAGACAGATATAGGAGTGGATAATGAAGGTGGTGATAAATCTGATCGAATTGGGGGAAGTTGGTTCAAGGAAAAGTCGAACCAGTCACATATTGCGAGTAGATCGGGGGAGAGAGAGAGAGAAGAAAGTACCTAAATTAACCCGGATCTCGAAGAAAGTGTAAGACCCCTTGGAAAGGTGGTCATAGGTGTTATCATTACCAGGGCTAAGGAATGCCCAGTACGAAGGTTGACCGACCTTGTCAAGATCCAGCCAATTGGTAGAGAGTGTAATGGGCCGCAATTTTTTGATTTTAGGACGAACAGTAGAGTGGCTGGTCGAAGGTTTAATTTTGGTATTATTGGCAGAAATTGACGAGGTCGAAGTTTTGGTTTTGGTCGTTCTGGCTTTGGTTTTTTTGGTTTCGGTTGAAATAACGAGATTAGGTGGAATAGAGCGGCGAGAGAGAGAGGAATGTGGTCGCCCTCCTTCCCAATCACGTCGGCGGCGTCGTATGCGCCAAAAGATGGTCGAGAGTGGAGAGTAATGAGAATGTGGTTGAGATCATCTTCGTCTGGTTCATCAGCCAGGTGAAGAGTTTGGGAGAGAGAAGAAGGGTCGATTTGAGCGTCCGCAGGGATGGGTTTGATGATGGAGAGGGGAGTAGCGTCGAAGACCTCCTTAACGGAGTTCTCGGGGTGATGGAAAGAGATGGAGAAGAAATATCCTTGCCGGAGAAGTGGTCGTTTTCACTTGAGGTGTTGGAATCTGAAAATTAAAAAAGAGAAAATATCAAAAGAGGGACCTTTTAGCATTTTTGGAGAGGGGAAGAAGAAAAAAAATGAAGAAACTTTTCGCCGATGGGTTAGGTAGAATTTTGAAAATTGGAAAAAAGAAAGGAAGAATAAAAATTAAATTTCAAATAAAACACCAAGTAAGTACCAGAGAACTTACTCATCATCGCAGAGGAGGAAAGTCGCTAAGAACGCTAGCGCTGTAGAGGTATCGATTGCAGAGAGCACGAGAGCGAGAGAAAGCTAAAACAGAAATATTTTCGAAGATTGGTGAAGGTGAAAAGAGTAAAATTTCTTACGTGTGGATATTTATAGGATTACAGGAAGAAACGAGAAAGGGAAAAGAATATAATTGTTGGATTAATAAATTTAACGGTTATGAGGCGTTAAATAAGTGCAAAACACGAGGGGGTGCAAATCGCGAGAAGACGCAATGATTGATATATCTGACAGACACGAAAAGTGGCAGGTTTGAAATTTGAAACGGTGGTAGAGGGACAAGGTGGTCGGGGAGCGAAAAGAAACTTGGTGGTCAATAAATGGTGGAAAGTTACAGTAGTTAGGCGGATGGACAAAATCTATAAGATCGAGGTCATTTAGACTCGACCGGAGTGGGTGAACTAGATGATATGGTATATTATAGCTAAAGGAGTAAACTGGTGCACTCGATCGGTTTACCAAGTTAAGCAAACTGAGGACGCTGGCTCGATCGAGCATAATCGAACAGGGAGGTTGTGGTCGAACACAACCAGAGCATGAGTCATTTAGATTATAAGGCAACTCATAGAGGATTCTGGTACTTGAAGGACATGTCGGTCCTAGGTCCATAGAGAATTCTAGCGCGACTTAATTGGTTCCCATTGAATAATCGTCTCTGACACACGCACACTATGTGTGTACGAACGAGCAGGGCGGGCAGTTTTTGGCAGCCAACTCAGCCCATCCGGGCAGCCTCTAGAAGCAGTACCTCACTTTTATACATATAGGAGTGAGCTTTACATTTTGGACACGATTTTATCCATTCTTACTTTGGAGACTTGAGAAAATCTTATACTGACTTAAGCATCGGAGGTTCTTCACCGGAAAATCTTTGCAGATACTCGACGTTCAACTGGCGAGGTGGTGGTTCAAGATAGCTGTTTCGAACCAGTCGGAGGTTTTGACGTACCACACTCTATATCATTTCAAAGTTTTGTTTTTTGGGATGTTGAGTTGGCTTTAGGGAGATATGGAGAAATGAACTTGGGAGATATGGGAAAAAAAAAAACTCGGAGGATAATTGTGCAAGAATATTGTGATCGATCTTTAGGTGATGTGAAATATTATGTTCATGTATTTGTATTTAATTAATTAAACATTAATTATTAACAAAAATATAAGATATGATCTGTGTATTAGTGTATTACTAATTTGCTATTAAAAATATGCCAAATTAAAGATTTTTTATGTTATTCATTTTTTAGTTAAAAGTA